AATGTGTTGTATGTAGAACTCTCTCTTTTACAAAATGGAAGAGTGAATGGCCCATAAGGATGATCACTTTATCTTATTTCTCTGAGTAAAGTCCCTTACAGAATGTATTCCTCCATCCCTCTTGGATAAGAAAGGCCCGGAGTTGTCTTTGAGTAGCTGGTGGGAGAGCAGAGAAATTGCTAGGCTGGAACAAAACTGAGGTCTGTGGATCAGGGCTGAGATCAGATGCTGCAGAAGATGGCTTATGAGGCAATAATAGAATAATTCGCCACAGGGAAATGTCCATTTCTGGCTCTAGCAGTCTATGCTACTAATTTTGTAGCAATGCAGACTTTATAGCATAGAAGCTACAGTAATCAGTGCTTCTAAGTCTGTGCTACTAAGTTTAAAACTTGAATGATTACAATGCAGGCATCAGGACACAAATAGCTGTAGGTTCACCATGATAAAACTGAGGGGTCAAATCTTGCCTTCAAAGAGATCTTTCTTGCCCCCAGAGAATTTAAAATGTGCTGATTGGCATGCTTCTGGTATAAGGCAGAGATACAGACCTGTTGCATAAAATCCTAATTCAGTTTATTTTAAGAGATTGCTATCGGCTTAAGAGAGTCAGGATTTTTGTTGTGGTCCTTGATATTGCACCTGAAGGCAGACATTTTGTTACAGAAATACTATTTGCTTTTTTCCTGATTGAATTAATTTAGTAAAAAATATAGCAAGCCATCAAGTACTGATTAGGACAAAGCCTAAAACCATTTTCAAATTACAATTTAATATTCAAAATAGTTTCATCGGTTCTAAAGAAACACCAACGTTTAAAATAACAGCAAAAGTTCAGAGTCTAGTCTGGCTCATTGTAAGATTAAGTATGCTATTGGTTGCTTTGTCACTTCATTGACCTGCACAAAGATACATCTAGTTTCTTCTTTACCAGGCCTGAACGCTTTCATTCCCTATCAAGCAAATGATAACTGAAAGGCCCAAGCATTTAATAGGAATTTTGTGGCTATGAATGCAACAAAATACCTTGAAGTGTAAAGTATATATATCTAATTCCAAAGAGCACTTTACAAGTGGTGAGAAGCTGTGTCCTCCTGAATTGTCCCTATCAGATAGTAGCAAACTTCTGATTTTTCTGGGCTCCATAGTTTCCAGCATTCTGCATAGCTGCACAAAGCTGTACTGGCTGCTGTTTCTGCTGACCCTACCAGTGAAATGAATGTATGTACAGGATAAGATTCATTGGAATGGAAGATCTGTGATGTGCAGGGTGTATTTAATAGCATGCTAGGTACTGATTCTTCATAGGTAGAGCTTTTCAGGAAATCCAGAACTTGCAGCTGTGAAGATCATTGGAAAAATGGACTGAAATCTTAAATACACTGGAGATACTAGTCCAGAATTTTGAGAACTTGAAGGGACTTTCATGAACCTCTGTGCTTGAAAATCAGTTTGAGTTTTGTATGCTTTCTAGTAGGCTACATTTGCTTCATAATGAATTGCTGACCCGTTCTTTCAAAATATATTCACTGTTTAAATCAAATAGAAATTTTTTCTATGACTATTAACCCATCATAACTATTTCTTAAAGAACATTTAGGACATAGAAATATGGTCTACAACATTTACAGCTTACTTTACTTTAAAATAGATTTTAGGAGCTTTGTCTTTCTAAGGAAGAAACCTTCTTGTAGTGAGTAGGAAGGGAAGACCTATTTTGGCTGCTCCAGTGATAGCAGTTACTACTGAGCTGCGTCTGATTGTTGTTGAAATATCCATAGATCTGTGTTACTTCAAATCTTTGTCTGAACTATGTATACATTTCAAGTAGGAAACCTTATACTTGCTGAATTAGCACCTAATTTGAAATACTTTGGAAAAATGGCAATTGTGTCTTTATTTGCACTTGTGCAGCAAAAAATTAAGTAAACTGCTAAAAGTAATACAGAGAAGATGCATTTCCATGGCATTAACAACACATATGTTTGGCTTCACACATCCAAACCTTCTGGCTATGTAGAACAGTAATAATTTTAAATATTTGAAACTATTGTGGAGACTTTAAATGTCAATGAAATAAATGCCTCGCTGGTAATTATTGGAAGTGAAAAACTCTTTACTTCAGCACTGTAGCAATAAACACAAAGCACTCACTTGTGACTAAGGGTTTCTATGTTTTGTACTGTGGTTCATATATTCCACACACGTGACTTAATTTCATTGGGAACTTTATGTATTTATTTGAAGACTGAGTTGTTTGCCTCTCAGTTTTTTAAGACGTAGTCTTTTTATTATTTTTCTGTTGAAATTGATGTGTTAAGGAAGCTTCGCATGCTCTGGCCCCAGTGGGTGCTCGCCCGCCATCCGTGGGGTCTGTCAGCGCCAGCAGGACCGGGCGCTTGGGCTTTGGGGGAGTTTTTCGTGAAAGCGGCAGCTAGAGCTGAAACCTGCCGGTGGGATACAGGTAACCGCGGCACTGGGAGCCGAGGCCGGCCCTCAAATACTCCCGAGGGCTGTGAGAGGGTCAATACCGCCAGCGACTCGGGATGAGGCGGGACACCGCCGGAGCCTGCCCCCGCCCCGCCTCTTCCTCCTCGGCCTGCGGCGCGGTGGGAAGGGGAGAGGCCGTCACCCAATGGAGCCGGTGCTTTTTGCATGGGTAAGTGGGCGCTCGACACGACGCGCCGAAGGAGGCTGAGGGGAGCCGGGGCCTGCTTCTGCCCCGCGGCCGCGGGATGGCGGCTGTGCCCGCATAGCAGAGCGGCCCTCAGGGGGCAACGGGCGGGAAGCGGAGCCCGGCTGCTCGACCTCCTTTGGGCTGCTGTGGGACTCGGGAGGCAGGGGCCGTATGCGTTGCCGCCTGCCCTCGTTTCGCTTCCCTGGGGAAGGGCGGCCCAAGGTTCTACCTCCCCGAAGAAAACCCATGCTGTAGTAAAGTTGCAGTGAGTCGCCCTCAGCGCGGTTCATCAGCTCTTTGCCGCTTCGCAAGGAAGCTGGGAAGCCGAAGACTTACAATGCCGCGGCTTCTCTCTGGCGAGGGGTTCCCTGCCGGGGCTGAGCCGGGCCATGGCCCGTGTCCTGCGGGGCCGGAGTGTTGCGCATCTCCGCGCCCAGGGAGGTGTCGCTCCGGAGCTGCCGCCGCCGGGCCGTGGGGGCCCTTTCACTTCAAGTGCGTGGCCTGGGGTGAAATCCTGAGCTCTTCGAAAGAAGGAAGACTTGTTTGTTTTTGGTGGTTTATCAGAACTGTGATTTTACCTGATGAGCATAGGGGTTCTGAGAGCCATTAAATGGGTGTCAGTTCCTTGTTAGCTCGCATTGCTTGGTAGTAGTCACCTTTGGTAATAACCTGTCAGTCTTGGAAGGGTAATGGAAGCGTTAGGATCAACACTCACTTGTGGCTTGCAGTTCCTCAGGCACCTGTTTTCTTTCTGCACCTTATCTCAAGCTTGCCTGTTTTTGAAGACTTGAAAATTCTTTGCAAGTTATAGGCTAAAATGAGAGCTTTTGGCAAGCAAGAGCTTTTAAAAAGAGTAATGTCTGTTAAGTAGTAACATACTCTAAAACTGTCTATCAGTAGTAGGGACTGTGAGACAACAGCTTGATCTGCCTGTTGAGCTTGATTCCTGACATCTCATCCAGCTGTTAGCAGTGGGCTGAGGTGAGCAGCCAGATACCTTTGTGTGAAATGTGGTCTCTGTAGGTACAAAACGTGTCCTTTTAAGATGCACCAGGTGCTACATCAGAGAGTGTAAATAGAGAACGGGTAGGTAGGGAGAACACAGGTGAGGCAGGGAAAGTCACCCCTGGGGATCACCAGCTGGGGGCAATGTGAGTGTTGCTGCTCCAGCCGTGTGTGGGCTAGGAAGGTTACTGAGCTCACCTTTGTGAGTGAAGGCTGCTGTTTGAACTACTGGACACTTCAGAGAGCTTAAATTGGCTAAGAAATTCCCTGGTGCGTTATCGTGTTGTCAGTGGTTGCTGTATCTATGACTGGTTTAGTGACTGTAATTTTGTACTTATAAATTGTTAATCGTTATAATTGGTGTACTTTCATTTTGACCACTTTAAGTAAAAAGACTTAGTTAATGAGGGGTAAGTGTTTCTGCTTTACGTGTTTAGGTTCCAGAATATGGAAGCTTGTCTTTCTGATCCCATTTTAGAGGTGGACTGCCAGAAAGCACGGGCATGAGTAAGATCTTAGTGATGAGTAGGAATCATTAGCATTAAAATTAAACAGGTGGTAATCATCCTGCTGATGAGGCTTTCCTCCTTAGTAACTGTTAGGCTGCAGTTAAAGTCTTACCAGGTTGTATTCCAGTAAGTTTCTTAAAATACTGGGCTTGCAAGGGCAGCCTTAATGACAGGAAATTTAGGGCAGTCCTGGTCAGTAATTCTGGAGGTCCTGTGTGACAGCAATAAGAATGAAGATTGCCTTTTTGGGAGATTTTCAGGAGCAGATACTGGCAGGTTAAGCTGTGATATGTCCCCGATAAGCTTGTTTGCTCTTAGAAACAAATATATATCTCTCTTGGTTAACTTTTTAAAAAATGTGTTATTTTTCTGTGTGTGTTTGAAGGGTGCAAACAGTTATGGACAACTTGGTCTTGGTCATAAAGAGGATGTGCTGGTACCTCAGCCACTGAAAAATGTTTCCTGCAAATGTCAAGACATTAAAAGCATTACTGGAGGAGGGGGACATTCTGCAGTTATCACTGGTAAAAACATTGCACTTACAAGGAGTGTATGACTTCTGAACACTTCTTTAAAATCTCTGCTTCCCTGTTGACTTGGTGCTGCCACCTATCTATGGCTTCTGTTTCTGAGCAAGTATCAGTTCTTAGTTGCAAAATGGGTTTCTGCCATGCTGATTAACTCAATATTTTGGGGAAAATTCCTGTTTTGCTTGTCTTCTGTGGTTACTTTATGGCTATGTGAGGACTGTTTTTTAACTTTGTTCATATAACAGCTCTTCATACAAAGCAGCCACTTTTGTCTGTATGGAGGATGGAGTGGGCTATGAAGGAGGAGTTAAGTGGAAGGGTAAGGAGCATAAGATAACATCTTGTATTTGAACGGTTCTGCTGTATGCCATAGCTTATTATGGGAAAGAAGGGATACAGACAGATGTGAACGGGATGAAAGACTTCATCATGGATCTTAGTGAGAGATGCCTGTCTTACCATATAGATTGTCTCCCTTGACAAACCCAACTCTCCGTAGCTGTGCTTATTCAGAGGTGTTTCTGATGCACCAGAAATAACTGTTTCCCTTTCTTTTGGCTTCATTGCAGTGCCTGAAATGACACACAATCACTGTTGTTTGTCACAGGATCTCATGGCATGTACACTTGTCTCTTTAGTCTGTGAAGTAGAACATGACACACAGATATGTTTTTTTTTTCTTCTAGGTGCGGGAGAACTCTTTGTATGTGGCCATAACAAAGATGGGCAGTTGGGATTGAATCACACGGAGGATATACTGCATTTTACTTTGTGCACTGCTGTGTCCGGCTTTTGTGTAAAACGAGTTGCCTGTGGCTGGGATTTTACAATCATATTAGTAGGTAAATCTGTCTCTGTAAGAGCTGGAGGAATATGTTGATGTAACGTGCTGAAAGTTCTACATTGCTGTTGTTTGTGCAATGCACAGGCACCCACAGGTTTTAAGCTACTTGCCTTGCAAACTAAATCCCTCCATGTTCCTTGTATCCCAGTAAACTTCAGATCTTTACTGAACATGATGTGTAAGACCAGAAGCCTATGGCCTCTGCAGCTTTGGAACGTGACATGTAAAGTCCTTTTTCGAGCTGATTTGCTGTGGTATTTTGCTTGTTAGAATGCTACAGTGCTCTACTTTTGCTCACAGTTTTACTGATTGGGCTCTAAAACTTCACTTTGCAGGATCTGGCCTAGTTCTGTCCTGTGGGTCTAACTCTTTTGGACAGTTGGGAGTTCCTCAAGTACCAAGTCCATGCTTGATTCCACAAAAGATTGAGGTAAAGATTTAAAAGGATTTGTGCTTCAGAACTTTGTACTTTCTATTGCTTCCAGCAACTTGCAAAGGTTGACTGACCTCAGTGGGCTTTAAGCCAGACTCTTCAACTATTTCTTATAGAGTCTGTCTGTTACAGTAAACTTCCAAAATAAGGGACCAAAGATGTTTGTCAACCCAGAAATGAGAAGCTGAGGCTTTTCTTGTACGAAGAAGTTGCCCGCTTCTACAGGAAAGTTGTCTCTTTTACCGAGTGTTACAACTTTTCCTGATCTATTTTGATAACGTCTGCAGAGTGATTCTGATGCTCAGGTGATGTGAAGTGATACTAAAGGTAGTATCAAATTCACTCCAGCTGAAGTTTTGCCTCAAGTTTACAAGATACTGTGTATGTTTAGCTACATGAAGACTGTGCCTTCACTGTACTTTGGTGGAGACTTTTGCTTAACAGCCCAAAGCGAAACAAAACAAAAAAAACCAACAAAAAAACTAACTCTGAAAAAACCAAACTGCATGATGGAGTTCAGCAAAGTTCGCTGTGCCAAGTCTTTTGATCTATTTCTCTTGTGCTTCTTGTGCAGCAGTTCTGTTTAGGTATGTATTGGGCTTTTAAAATGTATTTATAACTGTCGGAGTTTCTTTCCCCAGACGAGGGCTGTAGTATTACTTGGCTGTAAAACCAGTTAGATAAAAATAAGCCTTGTCATCCCCAAAATAATAGAAATGTGAGAAAGTATGTAGCTGTGGGAAAACTAGGCCTGAGAGAATAAACTTAACTTTAATCTCAAAAGCGATAAAATTAATTTTTACTTTTGCATATAAAGGAACTGACGGGTACATTGACTTGCTGCTTATCTAACCCCCAATATTTACCAAACAGTATCAACTTCCAGGGAAATGGGATGAAAGCTTAGATAGCGATTTCGTTGTTAGAGAGCATCTTCAATTGTAGATGCTGACCGGTGGGCTCTGGCAGCATAGCTCGTGTTGTTCCTGTGAGCCTGTGGAAGTCTGTGGTGATAATGTGTAGGTGAGGCACTGCTCAGGGCGAGTAGGGAGCTCTGAATGTCACCCCAAATTAATTGCTTTAAAATGTTTTAAGCTGTAGATACTGAGACTTCTGTAACATCAGAAAAGCTTTCCTGTTGTTGGCTATAAACCTAGCAGTTTATTTAAACTTCTCACAGGAATTCCAATTAATCCCTAATTTACACCGTAATTTCTTATTTGGTGAACACCATTAAAACTCTTTGCCATCCATGTGACCTTTCACGTCTAATGAAAGCAGTAACTTCAGAGCAGAAGGGAGTCTCAGACAAGAAATTTAGCCCTGTGGCCCATGCCAGATATTCCTTTACTTTTTTAATGTAGGAGAAGGACAGCTGATCCTGTAGGTAACCCCTAGGGAACAGCGGATAACTCACCTGATGTTTCTGTATCCTTGATGTTCCCTGGGAGCATCGTTCCAGCATTGTGCCTTGAAAATGGGAGTATTGACAGTTGTAATCTGTGTCCTCCCTGACCATATGGACCATTCCTTTATCTGGAATGTTCTATTTTGTTGTTTGTGTCATATTAAATGCTTGGTCTTGATGCCACCTCTTTTACATCTCATGTTACATCTGTGAGAACAATAATGAATTTGCAGGGTACTGAGAAGTGGCAGAGTGCTAAGACTGAAATACCGTGTGCAAGCTTCAGTCACTCATTTAATGCATGCGTGACTTGGTGTGGTTGTGTTTTGCGTGATCACACTGGGCAACCTTCAGCGGTGTAGGTGTTACTGTTGGCTGTGTTGTTTGTGATCAGAGGACCTGTAAGACTGAACAGCTTGACAGAACTTCTTGCTGCTTGTCACTGGTACTTGGTGTCATTCTTCAGGAACACTGAGTTAAAATGAAGAAATGAACATATCTGTACAGCCAGGAAGGTTCCCTCTTTCATGTGAGGATATTGGCTGTGGTTTTGTATTTATTGCCACAAAGCTGTACGTTCAGTTGCTTCGCTTGATTTTATTTTAAGATGTTCCTACTAATTTTTATTGCCCAAAATTTACTTCCTTTGTGGCACAGAATGTTGAGATGCATTGTGACGTGCAGGCTGGAATTGTGAGAGCTGTTTTCGTAGTGTTCCACTTGTGTTGAGCATATTTTGTTTTTAGAGACACTAAATGCAAAAAGAAAGTAAAATTATATATATATATTTTTTTTTACTTGGCTAGTCTCTCAAAGAGAAGGTGGTGGATGTTGCTGCAGGGCTGAGACATTCCCTTGCTGCTACAGGTAAATATGTCATCATTCTTGCATCATTTCAGTAACAAAGATGAAGTTTTAATAGCTTTGGGGGGGAGAGTGGGCAAAGAAGATGAAATTTATTTTAGTTTCTATTTTTTTTACAATTGAGGAAAAGCAAACTACTGGTGCTCTTATTTTGGTTTAATTTTACATTAACTTTAGTCTGGGTTCCAGGTAGTGGAGTCTATCTGAAAGGTGCAAAGGAGATACTTGTAAGAAGAGTGGAATCTGTAGTGTCTGTGTGAATACTGGGAATTAAGCTTCCCTGAGCTCTGTGCTCAGTGGATGTCTTGATTCAGAGCTAGGTCAAGTCTCTGAAAGCTCCTGAGAATACAATTGACTTCACTGTCTTGGTGTGCTGGACTGCACAAACTAAAGAGCTTGAAGAGAAAAGGGCAGAAAAAGTGCAGTGAACTTATAGTAATAAATAAATAGTGTCCATTCCTGAGATGCTACAGCTAAACTTCTGTTACTGAGTCCTCAATAACGTCCTGATCTAGGCCTCAGAGAGCTAAGACAGGTTACTTATTATCTTCTCAGTTTTCTTACCTGTATAAATGAGAGAACAACTGTTCGTTGCTTGATGACTTCACCAGGATTATCTGTATATTTGCAAAGTATGTTTTTGGCGTAAAGGTATTTTAAAGTGTAATTTGAATCAGTGAAGATGAAGTGAATGTACCTTTAAAAGTGATTAATGAGTTAAGTGATGTTGTTGTGGTTAATGTGTTTTAATCTCTTCTGTCTGTGTTTACTCCGGAAAGAGAGCGGTTTGGTGTTCCAGTGGGGAACTGGCATGGCATCTCGGGCAAAGCGTGCAAATCAAGGAAGAACCCTCCCCCTGTTCTTGACAGCAAAGGAGCCCTGTGAAGTAACAGGTAATCCAGGAATTAGATTGCTTTCTGAAGATGGATAGAGCAGAAATATAATTTGCAGTGACATGTAGCATCTTTTTATTATAAAGCTATTTGGTATTATAAACATGTGGTGGGGTATCTGAAGAACAGAATGGGTTTAAGGGGCCATAATCTGTGGGGGAAATTGATAGTCTTGCAATGTCTGTGGCTCAAAAGCAGAGGCTTTTGTTATAAAATTGATCATCATCTTGTTATAGTTGATACAGCTCTGTTTTATGTCTGTGTATGAAGTGATATCTGCTGTGCAAATTTTGAGACTGACTTTTCTCTAGGCATGGAAGATGTAAAGGTGAAGAGGGTTGCTGCAAGCTCCTATCATTCGGTGTCACTCACAGGTAGGCCTCAAGTGTAGAAGTGAATGTCCTTGTCTCAGACTGTAAAGGGTTTTGTGTTTGGAAATGTGTGCTAATTTTGGTTAGACTGGTAAGATTTGGTATGGCCTTGTTAGTGCTGGGTAATTGGTTTTGGATTCTGAGAACTTTGAATTCTCTGAATTCTGTGTTTTTTTTCTCTTGGTCAGCTTTGACTTAGCCCTGTGAGTAAATAAGGATCTGGGTTTTTTTGCTTAATGATTAGAAACTCTGAAAGGACTTGCGGAAGCACAAGGCTGGGTAAGTCTCTGGAGCTGCAGCATGATGCTGCATTTGGTAAATCTGGATGGATGAATGCTGTAACCAGTGCAACCCTTTGTTGGGTGGTTGTTGCAACAGGGACTGCTGTGGCTGCCCTGCTTCTGCCACGTGAGCCAATGCCTCTGTGTGGGGCTGTGCTGTCCGTGCAGGGACGTGAGTTGGTCCGGAGCTATGTTAGGTGGCTCGTATGTAAGTGTGCAGATCTGTGTGAGGTAGTGTAAGAGCACAAGGTTTATTTAAAGCAGTAGGAAGTTGGTTTAATCACTGAGACACTTCCATAATATCTGCCATTTGTTAAGTGAACCTTATAAAGACAAGTCTTTTTTAAACTTTATAGGAACAAGTTCTTAGCAAATACGCAGCCATCTGGTACCTCTGTCTTTAAATGGAGCACTGGAGTATTTGCTTATGCAGAACTACAGGGATTTAGTTGTATGGGGAGATGTTACAAGACGTAAATTATATTGAATTCTGAGATGCAAAGTGTATGTGTGATTAGTGAGGAGCTGTAACGACAGATAGAATCTACTTTAGCTAATCAGAGCTCTGCCTCTAGAGAGCGAACGGATTATTCTTTCATGCTTTTACTTTTTATTTGAGACCAGTCCATTTGGCAGCAGGGGGACCAAGATTAATAAAGTGCCAGAGATTTTAATAATGTGATGCTACTGCTGCCCTTCATCCTGTGAGATACTTCTTGTTACTTCAAATACTTGCTATAGTAAAGGTGCTTGATATAGTAAAGATACTACTGCAGGCTGTAGTACTTAAATGGGGATTTTTTTTCTTCTAGGAACCTCTTTTGCACTGTGATGAAATTTTCTTTGGCTGTTTCGTGAGCCACCTGCTGGTGGGATACCGAGCACACGCAATGAGGGGGCTTTTTGACACAGGCAGGATTGCTGCAAACATGAATCGTGGTTCCTTTAAAAAAGGATCCTAGTCCACCTGTATTGAAACGGGTCTGAAACCTTTGGTCATGTGAATAGGGTGCCAAGTCTTAGTGTCTATGGTTTTGTTAAAACCTACTCAAGAAAGGAGGTGAGGGTTGTTCATGTGACACTTCCCATGATAAAGGGAACACACCTTCTGGAGAATAAAAAGGTAGTGATAGAGACCGTGCGTGTTAGTTGTGGAAAAATGAATGGCCATAATGTTTTCCTGTGTTGAAACAAGCTGTTTCTGTCACCTTTTTTTTCTCTCCAGAAGGTGTATGTACTTCACTCTGGGAGGGAATTTATCAATTTTAGTGGAGAATTTGAATGAAACAATTGCCTGACTTGTTTTTCCTTGTCAGCTGTGTTGTTTTATTGAGGAATGTGGGATGTCTTGCAGGTGACTGCCCATAATGTGTAACTTGACAAGTGCTGGCTCCCCACCGCATGCTTACCTCTTGTTTTTCACCAGCAGTACTGTAGTGGAATTCTCCTGGCTCATTCTTTCTGTTATGGTTACAAAGTGGAGATCATGAAATAAATTGTATCCTAAGTCCTACTTTATTTTTTTTTCCCTCTGAAAGTTTTACTCTTGTCATGCTGCTTGTGGTGGAGAGTTCAGTGCTGATCTGAGACTTCCAGAAGCCTTGAGTGTTTTGGACTTGTGATCTGAATGTTGCAAATGATACAGCTTCCAGTCTTTCTTATGCCTGCAGCTTGTACAGGCTGACAGAGGACTTCATTATACGCTATTAAGTATTTCTTGTGGATTGATTTTTAACGTTGTTTCTGTTTAGTCAGTTGTTCTGTTGTCCGATGATCCCTACCCACCCAGGGTAATTGGGAAAAGAAATGGAGACCCCTGGGTTGAAATGGAAACAGATTTAATAAGATAATAATTAAGAACTAAGATTAATACAAAGTACACAAAGGTATACTTAACCCTTACAATGATTGCAAGCTGTGCGCTCCCAGCAGTGAGTACAGGATGTCAAACACTGCAAGCACCAAAGCTCCAGTGAGAGCACGATGGCCACAGGAAACGGGAATAGGCCTTGGGAGTGGAATGATGGGTGAGACCCTCCAGAGACAGCAACTGTTGATGAGAGCTGTCCCCAGCAAGCTGCCCAATTTACAGTGAGACTGATGTTTATGGTATGGAATACTCCTCTTGGCCAGCTTGGCTCAGCTGCCTTGGCTTTCGCTGCCCCTGGCTTCTGCACCTGGCTAAATCTAAACTGCTAAATCCCTTGATCACTATGGGAACTTACATGCCAGTGCTGGCCATGGAATAAAGCAAGGTGTCTTATCAGTTTTGTTCTCACCAAATCAGGTGCTGCAGTCTTCTAAAAAATGCAGCTTTCCTGAGTAGAAAATTGATACTGCCCCAGTGAAACCAGGATAGATATAGAGGCCTAGAACCTGGGTGGAATGATTTTGTGCTGCAAAGGTTGAACTAATGGTATGTAATACCTGCAGAAGGACTCCTCTGAACAGTCTTGTTACTGTCAATTGGTCGCTAGGCTGTGAGCAACTCCAGCTCACACCAGTGAGACACATGAACCAATGTGGAAGTTTCTGTAAGTGTAATTATCCCTGTGAGTGGAATCCTGAAGTGTGCACTTGCACAAATGCTTGTTCCAGAAGAGGGGTGGGGGAAGACGAGTACTAACACACAGAAGTCTCTCACTAGTTGTCTATCATTGTTTTGAGGCATGACAATGTTTTAATTTTACCTTGTGATGGGTGGTACCTGATTTAGTTGTACGTTCATAGCTGTGTGTTACATTCCTTTAGGAAGTGACTGAGCAAGGTGAGGAAAAGAGCATTAGACTGTCCCTGCTGTGGGGGATTTACTGAATTTGCTCAAGCTGAAGTGGGAAGAAGAGTTATGAGCAGAGCTGGTAGTCTTTAGCTCTTGTAGAGAAGCTGGGTGACTAATGCAGAGCAAGAGCAGCCAGTGAGGCTTTGAAGAGTCGCAGATACTGGAAGGGAGTTAAATTATTTGCTTAAATTCAAGAAGCTATTTACTGGAGTAATCAAAGCTTTAGAGTAGAGGTAAAAGCTGGCCTGCAAGAACAGAATAGACTGAGAGAGACTGTTCAGTGAGTGTCTCCAAGACTGATATTCCCCACGCCCCCCTCAGAGAAGTTGACTCCTGTGGTTCGTTTTCTCATAAAACTTGGCCTTTGCTATAAGCATCTTTCCGTTGTCTTTGAGAGGCTCACAACAGAAATGAGGCCTATGCAGCTTGACCTGAAAGCTGTGGTTGTTTCGGGGAGTTAATGTAGCCCTTGGAAAACAGGCTGTGTTGTTAAGACGCTTGCAAATATTTCTGATACCTTAGCGACAGTGTGAGTGCCTGCGATAAAGAGCGGTAGGAAAAAGCACACGGTGAAATTGGGTGGCATACTGTTCTTTCCTCGGCATCACTGAGTTGAGGCAGAGCCTGTATCTGGTGGCATCCTGTGTATATCACTTTCAACAAATTTTAATTCTCTATTATAGATGGAGGAGACCTGTATGTCTGGGGTAGCAACAAACATTGGCAGCTGGTGAGCAAAGAGATCTTTCTTGTTGAGCCCAAGAAGATTGAGACTGAATTTTTTTCACATGACAAAATTGGAGCAGTTTGGAGTGGCTGGACCCACTTGGTGGCACAAACAGGTAGGATATCTAAAAAGGAGCAACATATGACACCAAACCGGTAACCTGTCTTTATTGCATGCACACAGTGTTCTTTTTCACTGCTACTGGTTGGTTGGAGAGTTCTGTGGTGTCACCCGAGCAGTGGTTTATTCTCTTGAAAATGATAAGGACAAGACATCCTTACAGAATTTAAGTGCAATTTATATTGCACTTATAAATTGGAGTGGATTTTTTTTCACTAATGTTTGAAAGGAATTTAAATAAAAATAGGCTGACTTCTTACATCTGCATTAGAAAACTGGCCAAGCAACGCAGTGGTGTAAGTTATTGCTCAAACCAAATTTTATGTATTTTGAATTGTAAATCTCTTTGCAAGTCGGTGGACCTGAACCTAAATCATCCAGAATAAGGTTTTGGATGGCCTTTGGCAGCCTCTAGATACCAATCAGAATCTCATGGGATTCTCAAGGATTGCTCAACCACTAGACATAGTTTGAGCTAAGCACTTCAGTGTTTCTGAAAAATCACTCGCTGCCTGTGGTTAAACTTGCAGTCAAGTAACTGAAAAATGCAGCCCACTTGAAAACTTTTCCCTGCGTGCAGTTCTTCCTCCGTTATTTTTACTTCCTTCTAGCAAAGGAGGAAATGCTCCTTCAGTTTCCTGGCACTGAAGCCACATAAACCAGTGGTCTCCAAACTTTGATTGTGCACCCCTATCAGTAATTTTGTTTTCTTGAGCACGGACCCCCAGTATGTGTACTTGTTTATACCTTATAGACATGTACTATTGCAATGTGTTGTGCAGACTATAAAAAAATTCTGTTGTGCGTGTTTTAAAGGATGAGCTAAAGATGAAATAAACACGACTTAATTTAGTTAATAATATTTTAAACCATTAAATTAAAATACTAATTAATTCATGATCTTCTTACTCTCTAATGGATTGTCTTGTGCACCCCCTAGGCTGCACACACTCCACTTTATAGACCGTGGAGACGAGCAGTTCTGCTGACTTTACTCTGGAGAGTTCCACGGTTAGTGGAAAGTAAGCAAAACAGAGGGATTTTTGGACGTGGGAAAACAGAAGGAAGAGCTGTTGTAGTTTGATGCTTCTCTCTGTTTGTTGTGTAATGTAGGAACATACTTTGGAAAGATATTGCGGTTTGTAGGGATTTTGCTGCATGAAAGTTAAGGTTTTTTTCTAATTAGTAGTCTTGTCATGATGCAAAATTTAATTAACACTTCTGTTCCTGTACTGGAAGTCCGGTATTGTGTTTTCCACAGAAGGCAGTGGAATTTTAAGAGACCATTACAAATACTTCTTGTTCTGATTGGATTTTTTTTCCCCAGAACGTTAATCCTGGTCAGAGTAGCATTAATAAACATTCATCATTGCAGCTGTCTTGACAGTAAATTAACACTTTTTTCAATTGGAAAGTCACAGGAAGAAACGGGGTGGATAAAAGCTGGATACTCTGTTCATGCAGAAATTCACAAATTCTGCTGCTTCAAAATGACATTTTCATCTTTATCCTCCCGATGAGCAGATCAAGTGCTTGACTGCAGAACTAATGCAACACTGAAAAGTCAAGAGGACTGCGCTGTTGTTAAAAGCAGCCACCTGTGGGCAGTTTCATGGGTGCATTGGCTTGGCACTTCTAAACCGAGTCCAAGCAAGCTACCCACTTTCTTATCAGGAAAGAAGAAACACAGCATAAATATTTTCTTCTGCATTAAGCTTTCCCTTTTATGTAACTGAGCCTGTGTTACAAAGACTCGCTTTGTTTGTCCTTCATGCTATTGGCACAACTTTGCATTGTAACCTAAAGCAAAACACACAATTTTTCTTTTTTTTTAAATTTTCTTCTCCACGCTATCCTTACACGTGATGTGGGTATGAAAATGATTTTAGGGGTAATTAACATCTCTTTCCTATGTTATATACTACCTCATTCAGCAGCTGTTCTGGGAGTCCTGTTTCCTGTAATCTCTCTTCAGACTTTGGTCAGCACTTTTTATTTCACAGAATCACAGACAGACCGTTAGGGATTGGAAGGGACCTCA